CTCCCTGAGGCTTCAATAAAATATTCCATTGATACTCGTTGTAGACCCATAATAGTTGTCTGAACCGTCATTTGTTCGACTTTTAAATTGCATAATAGTTGTCTGAACCGTCATTTGTTCGACTTTTAAATTGCATAATAGTTGTCTGAACCGTCATTTGTTCGACTTTTAAATTGATCTACACGCTATTTCGGATGGCCCTTCCGAGGGAAAAGAAAAGTATATCAAAATGAGACTACCTCCATACCTTTATATTTTTTTCAATGGGTCAAGGTCAAGAATATTGTTTTCATAATAGTGAATCAAGCAGCTCCTCATCTTCGACCCAAAGCAGCAATGTACAAGGACGAAAGGGTGTGGAATGTCTTATTTTGTTGTTTAAAATCATTGCCAGAGCTTGTGGATATAATATAAAGAAAAACAAATGCCTGGCACCATGGCAAAACTAGGCGCTCGTCAAAATAATGAAATTGGACCAACTGACATTTTTTTCCCTCCCGTTTGGCGATTTTTATCGATTTAAAAATATCTTTTGGCTCAACAACTTTCATGCCTATGTGGATTTATATTGAAAACCCTAGATCAAAGGCACACAAAAAGAATGCACATTTGCGTTATCCAAGGAAACTCAAGCTTTGGAAAGCCTCCAAACATTGGCAAAAATTTTCGGTAATTGTACATCTGACACCAGGCGACCCTCCCCCCTCCTTCAACCGACTTCTAAACCAGTTAAAAACCTGCTGTTTCATCAACAGCAAGACAAATGAACAAGCTTCAATGTTATACTACTAATAGTAATAACTCCATATGCCCAAATATTGACGAGCGTCTCATTCCACCACATCGAGACACAAAATAATGTTAATCAGTTGCAAATTGATATATTATATTACGTGCTCAGACAATAATGGGTAACGATTTTGTCGGGGACAAATCGGGAGCCAGTGCATATTAGACGAAGCTGACTGCATCAGCATTCACGCACGAATGGACACTAATTATGCTCATTTCCTCCCTCTATTTTCTGGGCATTATAAAGTTTACTTCACCGTTACCTAAATCTTTCCGCACATCTTCTTCTCTCTCTCTCTCTCTCTTTCTCTCTCACTCACTCTCTCTCTCTCACTCTCTCTCTCTCCATCCCTCCCTCCTGGTTGTGAGCAGTAGCAATCCCAACGGGTCTTTCTATAATTGTTCACATTTTTATTTTGATCTCATGCTAAAGTGGTTTCTTATTTTCTTCATCTGAATTCCCCTGACAAGATTTTACAGCTTGTCAATCTACACTGAGTTGTGAACATGTTTTTTCTTCCCTATGTTACCGGTACTGATATTTTGATTTTTTTCCTTATATTCTATTTTAACTTTATAATCATTTAGAGTTTTTACATATTGTTAGATAGGCCTATATAAGCCTACTATATGGGTGTTAAAACGGAATGTTGTGAAGGATTATATACCAACATAAATAATTTTATTCTTCTTTAGCAGTTAGAATTGTATTGGGAAAATGGTACTCTATTTACTGGAAAAAGAGGATTTTGTGTCACTTTTGTATTTCTTTTATGTTTACCTTCTTGCCGTTCATGGTCAATAATATTTGGAAAAAAAAAGGATGGAGAAGTTCTATAATGTAATATGAATGAGATAAAAATAAAAGAGGCAGGGGTTCCAGTGTGAAGAGAAGCAAGACCAAAAAGTAAACTTAACATAACAAATGTGGACATGTCTCCTGATACTGTGGTGGTAAGTGTGTTTGGACTCACATTGGGTCTACCCTGTGGAATGTCTCCAAGTTTTCCAACCAACATTGTTCACTACCTAGAACCACACCAGAGCTAGAACTAAGGATTTCATCTATGGTACTTGACCAGTTGCATTAACCCTATCCATGCGTCATGTTTTACTATCTTATCCATACGACGTGGGGAACTCTTGTGTCACACTTTCAAAGAGGAAATTTACTCGTTAATCCGGTCCGTACACTTTGCATATCAGTCTGTCAACATGATTTTTGAGGAAGGCGGAAAGTTTCAAAGAAATCTTCGTACTGGAAGTATTCTAAAATGTGAACAATGCAACCCCGGGGGTACAGAATGACCCCAGGGCGAACGGATAGGGTTAAGTATGTTTGTGTGTGTATGTGTGTGTGTGTGTGTGTGTGTGTGTGTGTGCGTGTGTGTGTGTGTGTGTGTGTGTGTGTGTGTGTGTGTGTGTGTGTGTGTGCTTGACAAAAGGGGCTCATAATAATATTAATTAAAATGTCTTGCAAAGTCAGTTTGGAGCAGAAGGCCTTCAAAAGTATTTAAAAATTATCACCGACAAAAGAGAAAAGTGATCAATGAACAAAAAGTATTATAGGCCTCTCTGTTTTGTCAAACACAGTGCAAATAGGCCTGTAGTTATGTTATAATATGCTACATATATTTTGATTGGCTCTTTTGTGGCTCAAGAAATGACATTGGTCTTGTTGTACCGGTAGTAATGCTGATGACAAAAACTATACTCACAGTTTTTGATTTTTGGTTTTTGAAAGAGTTGTTTTGAGTTTAATTAAGTTTTACCACATTTTTGTATTCTACAGATGCCTGAACCACAAATTATCGTTGCAGATTCAGCATTGTTATTTATTCAGTTTTAAAATATATGCGTCTTATCGTCACTGTGCTTGCAAAATGGAACATCTCACTTTTGCTACTTTTGAGATGAATAGAAAAGTCTGTTTAATATCAACGAGACTATCTATCATCTAATACTAGTAAAGGTAAAACTTGCCAGGCATGTTTCTTTTGTGAGTACCAGCACCTTTTGGTTTTGGTTTGACAGAAAGATAGAACACAGCACCACCAAACGGAACAAAAGGCTATGTCGTTGCATTACAACACAACTCTGAGCTATGCTATTTTGATAGTGCTGCACGCACTGACATTATGTTTTTGGTCTGTATTATGGTAGATCCTAATCATGCTGTGTTGTTGGATAATTTGTTACTTTTGCTCAAGTAATTTAATATCAAGTGAATTAAACAAAGATGGAACTGTTTAACAAAAAGTGTTTTTTGTTTTGCGTCAATATTTATAGGTCTTTGACTATGAGCTTTGAACACTTTCCATGAAATCAGAAAGGAGAGTAGGCTTTATATGGGAAGGTGCGGGGATTCCATATCCGGGTAATTCCACAACCCCACTTATGCAGCCCAAAAGAAATCTGTTTGACATTCAGCTTTAATCATTTGCATCTGTCTGCCATGTTTTATTTGTAAGTTCAGCTTTAATTTCTTGTATGTCTGACTTTTCATTTTCGTTTTGGCATGTGTGCTCATGTGGGTATGGAATTTCCCCGCAATATTACATTTTTAATTAAGTTGAAAAATGGAAGTGTGGGGATGGTGATATCGTAGAATTCATATTATGTTTTGTTTCTTAACTTATCAGACCCAAAGTAAAACTGTTGTGGAGGATGTGTCATCTTTCTACATAAAGTAATGATAAAGTAGCTTCTATATATAACACTTAATGTCTCACAATCCAATTGAAAAGTATGGTGTGGAATTCCCCCACATGTATAGGTCTGCGTCAAACTTGTTTAAGCTGCCAAATTTAGAATGAACGTATTATTATATTGATGCCCTTATCTTGGAGTACCATGGTTTGTGTGTCGTCGGTAAGCCACAGCTTTGGTCTGTTATTCTGGAATCCAAGGTTTTCATCTGAATTGGGGCCAGAACATTTAAATACAGCTCCTTCCGTCAAATATATCCTCTCAGCTGTCTCTATTGATGGGGGCGAGAGGTTGGGTGTGTCAAAATGACCTTCTGATACTCTGCAGGCTTAAGGCGTCGGTGGCCTAGTGGTTAGGCTACCGGACTCGTAATCGTGAGGTTGCGGGTTAGCGGGTCCGAGCTGCGGGCCCGACGTTGTGTCCTTGGGAAAGGCACTTTACACGAATTATCCCCACTTCACCCAGGTGGGAATGGGTACCCAGCTATAGACAGTGAAAGATCTTGTTAGTTTGTTAGTATTTGAGCGCTTAACCAGCTGCTTGCACTGCATATTTCCCGGGAAGCTGAGAATGTTTCTGAGTTTTCTATGGTCTGCTGGGGTATATAGTGTAAAGTGCCTAGAGCTTGCTTTCGAGTGGGGACATGCGCTATACAAATGCTATTTATTATCATTATTATGTTACGGTTAGTTGTTAGGCTCAGCCTCAATTCCACAACCACATGGAGATCACATATTATGTGACTTTGTGTCATTTTCAGTCGAACCTGTTGTGAGAAGGACGGGAACTTTTTGTCAAATAGATTTATATTTTTCTAAATTCAGAAAATGAATAAATAAAAAAATCGGGCTCTGTCATGGGGACCTATCTATCTTTCTATCTTTTTGCAGGTACTTGCCCACTTTCAACTCAATAGCTGTCGTAGTTTTATGGGAAAAGTGAAACATAATATGTTTCCAAGTTGCCAAATATGTAATAGACTAGCTGGGCCCCCTTTCAATGAAAGGGATGATCGGTGCTTTAATAGCAACTAAAAGTCATTGGCCTACTATATTTATACATGTACTCTACTGGAATGGGGTAATGAATCTTGAGATATTCAAAAATTTCGAAGGTCTAGATTTATACTCTCAAAACCAAATGCGCCTCGCGAAATATCACTTCCGGATTTTCTAAAATTACAAAGACAGAAGCGTCGGCCTA